CTTGTCTCTCCCTGGCTCCTAGAGTTTGGTTTCCCCTGATGTCTCCTTGGTTCTGGTTTGTTGTTATTTTTGTTGGATCTTTGATTCCTGCCTCCATACCTGTAAACCTCATTAAACCCACCAAAATTCACCTCTGCCAACTTGCCTCTGCTTTTGGGACATCAATCCAACACCAAATCGTGACATTTACTATACGGTGTTCTCATCCAAATGGAAACCCACATGGAGCAGATTTAAAGAGAACTTCTCAGTCTTAATAAATAATGCATTGATTGCGAAAAGCAGCCAATGCAGTGCCAGAAATACCAGCTGTAACTTCAAATGCAGGGCCCCCTTGATCGCCCCTGCCTACAAATACATATCCATAGTTTAAATACACAAAAGACTAAATTATCATGGCAAATAAAGCTGCTAGGGTATTGTGACAGCTGTTATTGTAAGATATGGAGATGGAAGATGTCCTTTGGCATTCAGTTCCCCCATCTATGTAACATTATTTCAAAAATAGAATAGCTGAAGGTGGCAGCAGATAAAATCTGATTCTTAGGCAGAAAAGAAAATATCTAGCAAAATATATATATATTGAAAGACATTGCATCTTTAATCTTACAATGTTCCTTTTTTCAATCCAGAGTGAAGAAGATTTTGCAGAACCACAACTCCAGCACACCGCTCTTCCTCTACTTGTCCCTCCAGGCTGCACATACCCCCCTACAGGCACCAGACCTTTTCTTGCACCACTATAAAACACACAGCAATCGTCAAAGGCGTCACTATGCAGCCATGCTAAGCTGCTTGGATGACGGGGTAGCACAGATGGTAAAAGAGATGAAGGCTAGTGGGCTTTATCAAAACTCTGTGCTGATCTACTCATCTGATAATGGAGGACAGCCGCTATCAGGCGGAAGCAACTGGCCACTTAGAGGAGGGAAAGGGACTTACTGGGAGGGCGGCATCAGGGCTGTCGGGTTTGTCCATAGTCCCCTTCTAAAGAGGAAAGGAATTGTTAGTAAAGCACTGATCCATGTTTCTGACTGGTATCCTACATTGCTTAGGCTTGCAGGGGACCTGCAATCCTACCATGATCTAGATGGCCATAACGTCTGGGGAAGCATCAATGAGGGCTTACCCTGCCCTCGTAAGGAAATCCTTTTCAACATCGATCCTGTGTCAAGGAAACCTGGGGAGCCATATGACAAAGCAGTGGTACTCAATGGGTTCGGGATTTGGGACACCGCTGTAAGAGCCGCACTAAGAGTGGGTGACTGGAAGTTATTGACAGGAAATGTGGGTGATGGAGACTGGATACCACCACAGGCTCTTCCCGCCGGCCGAGAACGGTGGCAGAAATTGGAGAAGCAACGTAATAGGCTGGGGAAGTCAGTGTGGCTGTTTAACATCAGTGCGGACCCGTACGAGAGGTTTGACCTTGCTGAGATTCGACCAAGGGTGGTAAAACATCTATTGCTCAGGCTGGCAGAGTATAACCACACAGCTGTAATGGCAAAGAACCCACCAGATGATCCAATGGCTGATCCAGAACTACATGGTGGAGTGTGGAGTCCCTGGCTGGGCCAAGAGGGCTGGAAAGAAGATACAAGGGTTGAAGAAGGCAAAAAGGAAAAGACTGTAAAGTTTAAACATTGTAAATTATGCAAATTAAAAGCCCTCTTCAAAAAAGTGGGGTCACGTCTTGAAAGAAAAAACATTTTCTAAATGTTCTCTCAGGTTCATAAATGTTATGCCTAGCAAAAGGAATTTACACAAACTGAACTTTTTCACATTTATTCACATGTAAACCACCAACCTAACCAGTTCATTCTAGTTTTATGAGGTAATTTTGGTCAAAGTTACAATTACCATTCAGCAAACCTAAAATAATAAACAGTTTAAGATTTTTCACAGTAATGAAAAGTTTGCTGTATATTTACTTTACTGTACATATAACCACCGTGACAATTTGTGGGGGAAAAAACTGGCTAATAGCACATACATAATGTTTGTACTAAATAATTTAAAACATGTAAAAATTAAGTGTAAACAAAACACTCATAATTGAACATTAAAAACAAAATAAAAAATAAATATCCCCTTTAGAGACCAATAAAAACCAATCATAACATGACAAGCATAACATATTAAGCACCCTTGCAGAAAAAATGTAAATAAAAAATCTTGGCAGAGACATATGTAGCCTATATAGAGATGTAGCAAGTAATATACCTAAAGTGCAGCAGGTGCCAGAGTAGTCTATGAAATCTTTTGATGCTCTGTTTAGTTGCATTAGTGTGGTTTGTGTTTGTCTGTGAAGGTGTGTGTTTCTAGGTGTGTATAAAGGCATGATGCAGGGATAGGTGTTTAACTCTACAGGCGCCATTACCTTCACAGATGATATTAAAATAAAAATGTATTAATTTTCCTTAGGAAGTAATAAAATGTATTCTGCTCAATCAGGTTGTATTTGTTTTTATTAAGAATTTGTAAAGTGTCACTGAAGATTCAATGGTGTATAATTTCAAGAAAAAGAAAAGCACAAATTGATCCCACATTGGACTCTGGCCAATTCTAGGGGCAAAACTAGTAGTAAAAAACAGACAAAAAAATTATTATTAGCTGTACTGGCACAGTCTCGGTTTTGTTATGTTTATTTAGAGTATTCAGTTTTACTTTGCTTCTTGTTTTAGTGTTTAATTATTAT